GAAACAAAGAGTATGCAATGTAACCATCTAATTTATTTTCAAATCCTCATTCTTGAAAGTGAAATTCTATATTTTGGAAATTTTGCATGAAATCTGTCAACCACGTTGTCATGGTCGAGGTTGCTTCACCTATCACGATAGCTTGGTTCACGTCGAACTTTATCTAGATATACCCGTCTTGAAACATGATACGATAATCCCCTAATTGCGTTCGATGCCAAGTTAGAGCCAGATAAACAGCCAGCCAGTTTCAGGCCGTCGACGTGAAAGGCTTGTTTAATAAAACATCTACTGTATTTTACGAACCAAGTACCAAGTGGTATTCATTCAAAAAAAAAAATTGTAAACTACTGTAGAGAAGGTGTGAGTTTCCACTACCTAACCTAGCCGACCAGTATGAACCAACGACCAGTGCAGTAGCGTGTTCTATCGCAATCTAAGTGGTAGCTTCTCTAGGCCCTGGCTCTAGCTACATTTACCTTCGATAAAAAACGAATTATTTTAATCGCTAGCTAGCATTCTTCCATTTAACAAAATATTGTTTTAATTTTCATTAAAACGTATGTATACTTTATGGACCTTTCTGTCCTGTTTTGTAGTTTTTAGATCGCTCAATTGTGCTGTTTACATGCACTTCGCGAAAATCTAGCTTCGCGGTGTCAAATAAGTTGCTGACTTCCACACACTTTTTTATTTCGTCATCGTAAACATGTGCGCTCATTTTAACGACTGGCGTTGGTGGTAGTTCGTGTGTATAAGAGACAGAGAAAAGATTGAATTGTCAATAAATAAATACAACAAATCTGATTTTATTATTAAGAAAAATATACATTATCACTTTGAAAAACGTACGCAATCGGACTTTTTAACGTTATTACTTGGTCGATGATGCAAAGGCCAAAGTTCATTGGTAATATCGACTATTCGTAAAACGGACGTTTGCTGGGTGTTTACCCAAAATATTACAAATAATTTCTGAAAACCAGACTAATGAGACTACTTCGATGCTGTTGTTAGCATTGTTTGTTCGCGATCGATGGAGACATGAAGTACGTTGTTGCCAGCCAGAAGATGATAATGGTGGTACAATACAACAAAGCTGGCTTAGATACCTACGTTACGTAATCGTGTCCTTTTAATCCGAGCCGACTTTACCGTTAAGCAAGTTAATTTACCGTTATTCTAGTAAAGTTAAGTCACTTAACTTAAGTGACTTAATTCCTTTAACTAGCTATAATTGAGTGGTTCACGTCGAACTTTTAACTAGTTAAGTGGATGTATATCTAGATAAAAGTTCGACGTGAACAATGTGTATAAGAGACAGATATAGTAAGCGTCTCTTAATTCTTAAATATTTAATTGCACTAATTAACAGTATGACACAAAAACTAAGATAATAATAATCATTCAAGAAAAAACATAATTTTTGATGTGGTAGGTGATAAGCCCATATGTGATATGCCCATGTTTGGATGTAGTATGACATCAACATGTTCTATGGCACATCACACTGATTGTCACATGAAATGTGGTAGTGTGGGTAGCTTTAAAACCTTCCAAGACTATAAAATTTTATTCCAACCATCATGAGGCTATCTAAATGAGCATTTGTCATAACAGAACGCAAATTATTTTTAATTAGTCTCATTGAATTATTATTATTATTATTATTATTATTGTTATTGTTGTTGTTGTTGTGATGAAAAGTTAACACAAACGATATGGTGGCTAAACGAATATTACATGTAATTTTTTTTTTTATTTGTTTGTTCCCCGACAAAATTTATCGTCTTCCCCGACGGGAGGCTAGGCTAACCATTACCTCTGTGCTAGCTCCCTCTCCATTGTCACCTTTTGACAGAGCCACATTAGAGCGTTAAAAGACTGGTGGTAACCGCTGCAGAGGGCCTATGGCACCATCTTTGTGTCGATGGTTCTATTCCTTTCCTTAAAGTCTCTCTGTGAATCACTAGTCAAAATAAACATTAAATGTCTCTGGGCCTTTCGGCCGAGAGACAATTAATGTTTATTTTGAAGGCGCTACCTAAATACGACACCGTTACCTAACTTTAGTATTGACCTATTGTTTTAAAAACCGTAAAATTACCCGTAAACTTGTAATAGAAAAGGTACAAACCTATAGTCTCTTTTCCTCAGAAAAGTCATCGTTTCATTGAATATTTGTATATAACCATCTTTATCTATAACAAACTGTTCTTGAGAGCCATCGTATGCCTGGCGGCGACGACGGCTGTACCGATCGTTCCAATAATCGCTAAACCGGTCGTCGTCATCATACCGGTCGTCGTATCGGTCTCTGTTTCGATAGTTGAATGGATCATTGTCGGCGACAAGGACGAGGTCCCTTTGCTCTTTGAGGTAATCCTGCTCATTTATGTTATCATTATTATTATTGGAGTTATCTTCAACAACTGGTTCATCCTCCTCAGTATACAGTTTATCGGCTGCGTATGCGAGGAGTGAGGCACGCTAAAATAAAATTGAAGATAGAATTTTTATGAAATACCGGTAGGCCTATATGTTAGAGCTACCAACGGCGTGCACAAGAAGTTAAAAAAATGTATATTAATGTTGTTTTACGTTTCATGAGACATAACAACCAATGAATTTGCTTGTCGGTCTAATGTATAGGACCAATAAACACGAGGGATTATTGCGATTTTTTTTAATATGGGGAAAATATAAACTACAAATATGACAAAACATCAAGAAATACCTCTGCTATCAAATAGCCTAATGATGTACGTTGGAAGAAAATGCCATTGCACGGATTTTAAAGCGATTCCAAATAAAAATCTGAAATCAGTAGGACTATAATATTTACTTCATCATAATAGGCCTATCAACGATGGTTAAATTGAACGCATCATCATTAAACCAAAGGATCCACTGATTATACGAAAATAAAATA